GTCTATGGCTGAGGTAAGAATTGAATGCTTTCTACTGAGTCCCTATCCATTAGACCATCCTCCTTAACCTATGTTTTTTATGGGCGCACATACAGACACACACTCTCTCTCTCTCTCTATGAAGGTGAGTTCACACTGCAAAGTTCCGATATTTCTGTATGAACTTCCACAACTTTTGAGGCTATTTGGGCCACAACCATTGCTAAATTTTATGTAAATGTAGAAGCAGAGAGAGAGAGAGATTAAGTAGGAGTAAAAAAGAAAATTGCAAACATTAACTGAAATAAAAGCCACAGGTTCCTTTCAGCAGTATTCACAACCCTTTCATTAGCTTTTTCTGCACATTTGCAGTATAAAGAAAACATTTGCTTAATTAAAAAAAAAAAAGACTGCAGAACTTAAAAGTCTCTCAAATACTCTTACAAATGTATATATTCCCCAAAATATCCATGGGGGGAGAGAACATGTGGCCACACTTTTGGAAGTTCTTTGATAGTATAGGAGTTATCTGATAAGTGGGCAAGAAAACACACACACACACACACACACACGACTTGTGTGATGAATCACACAGTAGGAATAGAAAATCAGAAAGAGCAATACTTATGGCAAATAGTTCACAAGCAAGCCGCAGGCTGAAATATGTTTACTGACTAATTCTGAACAAACAAATTTGTAAAGATCTAAGTCTGCTCATGGATAATTTGAGAACAACAAAAAGGGAATGAATTAATCAAATCTACCCTTTACTATGAATAGTTACTAAGCTGTAATACAATACTGCACACACACACAGAATTCATCTGACTGGCAGTCTGGAAAAGGTCAGCGTTCCAAGGGCTAAATTACATAGTGGCTTGTGCTGCGCCGAACATAAGAAGCAACACCACTTCCACCCAGCCTCAGCCATGTGTAACATCTGCAAAGCAAGGCCAAGTAGGTTCTCACTGTCTCACCAATTTTAAGCTGCAGTTTACATTTTCAGAAACCCGCATGGTCTCTCCTGTTCCTATTGGTCTGCAAAGTCATTTAAGACAGCAGTTCTGGTTCATGTCAGAGAATCCCAAGGTCTCGCAGGAAAGTCTAAGAACTGAATGTTTTCTACTGAGTCCTTATCCACTAGACCATTCTCCCTAAGCCTGCACGTCTGGGCTGGCTCTTCAACCCGTGCATAAAGAAATGTCCATTGTGGGCAGGGGAGATGTGGTGTTGGTTACAAAATGTCATTACTAATCAAATATTAATTCTGTAGCACAGTGCAGTTATCAGACTGTCAGCACAGAATTCCATTGATTCTGTCTTTAAGGCCAACATTCACCAAAAAAATTTTCAAAGGAGAGATGGTGGGTGCACAGCTTGGCTGGCATTTCTGACCTGCTTTATACCAGATCTTGCAACAATTGGAAACACAGGAATGGTCATACTAGATCAGAATAATAAGAAGCTTATATTTACACAACAAAGCTTTATAAATGGTGCACTTATTTAGGAATCACTTATCCACCACTGAAATGCAGCCAACTCTGAGTGCAACATAGCAAAGTAGAACAGCACACAACAGTTTAGACTTAACTTATCATTATTATCTGTATTACCTTAGCACCTAGAAGCCGTAGTCATGGACAGGGTTTGCCCAAACACCTCCTACTTCCTCCAACCAGACGAAGCTATAGGAGAAACACAGGGTTCCCTCAAAGGTAGAGGATGCTACATTCTGTGATAGTTGAAATTTGGCACAAAACATAACATCAAGGCCTCAGGCAAATTATAAAATACAATGTTAATGGGTACGGTGAAAGAAGAATTTCACTGGCTGATGGATTTTGTAGGGAGCTATTCTAAATGCATGGATTAGGGCCTGCGAGCCAGTTGTCACCAAAATCCAAATTTTAAATACTAAAAGTAGAAAAGACACAAGTTATACTAGACACCTGCACATCTCAAGTTGGTACTACAGTAGAATCTCAGAATTACGAATACCCTAGTTACAAACTGACCAGTCAACCACCAACCTCATTTGGAACCAGAAGTACACAATCAGGCAGCAGAGACAATAAAAAATACTGCACAGTACAGTACTGTGTTAAACGTAAACTACTAAAAAAATGTAAAATTTAATATTTTTGACAAGATAAGCAAACCCTTTCTGTGCTAGTTTCATTTAAAAGCAGCATATTTCTTCTGCATATAAAGTTTCAAAGCTGTATCAAGTCAATGTTCAGTTGTAAACTTTTGAAGAATCATAATGTTTTGTTGAGAGTCATGAACATTTCAGAGTTACGAACAACCTCCATTCCCAAGGTGTTCGTAACTCTGAGGCTCTACTGTAGATCTTCAGTCTTGGTAACTCTTTCTCTTGTGAATGGAATTAATTTTAACTCCGAATTTAGACATGGCGAAATTCTCCCACAGAGGAGTTGTTCCATCTTCCTCGGGATCATCAGCTGCAAGGATGATTTGGGCACATCTCACTACTTCCTGCAGTGGCAGAGGACAGGCGCTAGAGAGTGTTGGTGTTTCCTATTTTCTTTATCTTTCTCATTCACCCAGGTCTAATCACATGCCTTGCTGAAGCACAAAGCTTACATACAGTATTCAGTGGACAGTGAGCGAAAGCAAAATTAACAGAAATAAATGTTAGGGGAACCCCAAAATACACTTGATCAACACCCCTAACTTACACCACAGTTAAACTTGAGCCTATTGTTCAGCCAGACTCATCAATATTGCTATAGACTGCACGTGTAATGGCCATATAGATAAGTAGCTTCCTTCATGCTCTTGAGTTACAGTCCACCCAGGAAATAATTTGTGGTTTGGACAAACATATTGATTCCATCCCTTCTCATAGCGTTTAAGTGCATGGCAGCATTGTCCAGCACCAGGCTGTCTCTTACCCTACATTCCAAATGCACACCTGCTGGGAGTGTACTACAGAGATGGCCTATTGAGACCTAGGAAGAAAGGCACCTCTTGCACTCAATGGTGTGTTGGGGGAATCAATAGGCACCAAAATGTCTAGTTTGCACCCTCAAGGATTGGCCAAAAGTAGGGAGTCCTACAGCTCCCCTGCTCTCAGTCCTAAGGAAAAGAGGAAAAACTTCTGATGAACTCACACTTTCTATTTCTGGGACCACTAGGAGACAATGCCAACCAAGGTCTTGTTTTCAGCTTCCTTGCCAGGTACTGCAGGTAATGTTATATATTACACCAGAGTAATCAGATTTAATTTTACCAAACATTTTTATAGCACTATCATTTAGATACACTATATCCCAGCTTTCCTTTTCAATTCCTTTCAGTTGCCATAGTCGAACTGACCACTGATGTACCTAGCTGAGCATCTTGACTCTCACGGTGGCTAATGTCAGCACTCAATTATGTAGTACTCTACAGTGTGTGTACAGTGCCTAGGAAAACCTCTCACTAAGGCTGCTAGGTGCTACCTCAATGCACATATTTAATAAATAAGAATGATAGTGGTGGCTGGTTGTTATGCTAAAGATCGAGGACTGATATCCCACAGCTTTTTTAAAATAAATATAACTGCAGACTGTCTTATTTACAGACATGCCTATTCCTTTCTGAAAACTATTAAATTGTTTGCCCCGCTATCTTGCAGCAATGCATTTCCCAGGTTCATTATACCGAATAGTATAGAATCTTGTTATCCTTTTACTTCACTCCTCACATTGCCACGCAACACTGTTTCAACTGCTTCTGTTGGATAACACTGGGATTTAGATTAGGTGTCATCCACCTTTACAAGCAGGAAATTCTTCTCACACACGTGTATGGAGTAGCAATGTAAAATGAGCCGTTCTCAACTGGCTTAGTGCATCTCAATTTATACAACACCGTTCCCAAACCCAGAGATTGACTATGATTATAACTGAAGACAAAACACCAGCATATGCATGCTGCATTCCAGTATATGCCTAGCATCCACTGTATAGTATTGCCATCAGTAATAGTTCTGAGTTAGTACACAAATGCAATTCACAAGGTGCTCAGTTCAACAGTACAGAATCATGCCTTAGTTCACTATTCAAGAATCAGGGGAGGGAAGAACATACCGACATTACAGAAAATATTAACGATGTTAATTTTGCAATATTAAAATCTATTGTCTTTAAACCCACAGAGACTGGAAGCTTCAAATGGGTTGAGTGGAAGCTCTGAATCACGTTGCTACTAGTGAATCTATGGGGAACACTTAAAAAAATAGCTCTTCACTCTGTGTTTTAATTAGATATCTCACCTAGATGTCTTACATCTCTACAACGTTTCTGTATCCCACATGGCATCTTTAAGCTCCCTTTCTACATCTCCAAACTATTGAACCTGGTGAGATTTTAATAGGAATCCCTGCACTGTGCTATAAAGAGAAGCATTACTTGAGGTTTTAATTAGCATCTGTCAAGGCTGAGCCATAGGAAATGTTGAATTGTTTGTGTAACTTATTACAGAAAAGTGCATTTACTGTCTGGCTGTCTGCACTTGGATGACGCAAAATGCTTTAGTCTTTTGAACCCTCTCACCCCACGCCAGCTCCCCGAAAGTTTTTAAAAAATAGCAAACAACAAATTTCTGGTGGTAAAAAGCCATTTCCTCAATCAATACACAGCATGCTTCTTCAACCCTATATTTGGCTGCTGAACTAGTTTCTGATCTCCTGAGGAAAAAGTCATGATGGTATAATTTCCTGACCGGAACAACAAAACAGAGAGCAAGCATTATGTTATTACACATTCCTCCCATTCAGTGCAAGGTACCTGCAATCTTTTAAGAACCTAATATAGCTTAGAAATTAGAGACTACACTGATTCACCCAGTTATGTCTCCTAAAGATACAGCTTGCCTGAGAACTCAGAAAAGATAGGTAAGTAGCTCTCTACTTTTGCTAACTTCAAGAATCACTGCTCTCTATTATATTTTTATTTGTATTTCCAAGTATGGCTGTGCCCCAAAGGTATCAAAAGAATGACAGCAATTCCTACCATTTAGCTGCCTGTAGACTATATCTTCTAGAAGGGAGAGCCTTTTCAGTACTGCATCCTGGATAGGGCTGATGCCATGGGCTGTCAAGTTGGCCACTTCTGCCCTGGGATGGATTTCATGGAAGGAATCCCCGCTCTTGACAGTGATGGGTCTACACTTGGCCAGAAAGAGGACAAAGCCAGCCACTGCAATCAAGTTCAACACCAACAGAACTTTGACTCGCCGCAAAGAAGCCATCAAACTCCCAGTGTGGCCACTTCAGCTGCTGCTTGGCAAATGAGGGGCGGCGCGTGTGGAGCCTCCTGGCTAGGGACGCAAAGGTGGCTTGGGATGGGAGGTGGCTGCAGGTGTGAGCACATCCCACGTCCCCGTGAGGAGCTGTCTCAAGTCCAAGCAGCGAGCGTGCAGGACAAGTCGCAGCAGCAAAGCTGGGGGTTATGGACCGGCACCGGCTCAGGACGCCTTCCTAGTGCCCAGCAGGTGCAGAAGAGATGGAGAGAACAATTCGGGTGCTCTAGCCGCGGCGTCCGGAGGGGAAATGTCCCCGGGATGGGGAAGCCAGCGCCGCAACTCCTGGTCCCCGTAATGCTGCGCCCCAGTTATTCTGCACAGCTCAGGCTCCCAGAGCCGGCCAGCTTCCCGGGGACGGGCTGGGCTGCAGGAGTCGATCCCCGCAGGGTTGGCACAGGGTGTCCTTCATGCCAAACGGCAACTCCGGAATGAATGTGGCTTTCAAACGCGGGGGGGGTTGGTTTTTCCTCCCCTCCCTTTAAGTCATTCGCTAGATCAATCCAGGCGGAAGGTACCCCCAGCCCCGCTCCATCCTCCCCCCTGTATCCCTGCAGCAGCAGGAGTTCTCTCAGGGGACAGGGGGCCAGGGAGGGGAAGGAAACAGAGACTCCGGTGTAGTTTCCCTCTCAGCCGGTGCACGGCGGATCTCCCGGCCCGGAGCAAGTCAGTCACCATCCTACGCCTCCTTTTAGCACCGTCATCCGGCTACTCCGCGCTGGGGAGGCGCAATCGCTGCAAATCACGCCGGGAAATGGACGCTGCGGCAAAGGCGCCCCCTTGGCCAACTCCAGCCTCGCCCCCCTCCGCGGGGCGCACAGGCGCGCAGGCAAGGTGGGGCTCCCCCGCTCCCCCGGCCCCCCATCACCGGCTGCACGCAGGGGCGCTAGGCGGGTGGCAGGCGCAGGGCATGGGGGCTGCGCTTAGTCAGGTCCCAGGCACGCTTTGGGGCCGAGGTCGGGAGCCGCGGCTCGCTCTCGCCTCTGGATTGCCCTGGCTGGGGGCTGCGGGTGCCTGAGCGGAGGAGACCATCCCTCCTGTGTGCCTGAGTCCCCGGTGCATGCCTGGGGAAGGGTTAGAAGGAAAATCTGGGCTGGAGAAAGGGGATGTGTTGCCTGTTTGTACTATATGGGCGAGTGGGAGGCTGCTGGGTGGGTATGGAAATAAGTGTGTGTCTGTGGCTCTGTCCCTGGCGGGGGGGGGGGGGGAGGGGTGAGGGTTAGCTCCAGCCTATTTTTTAAAATAAATTATTGCCCTGACCTTGCCTTCCTCCCACTACATTGATCGAGAAGAGCAAAGTCAGGGAAACTAAGTCACAGTTCCGGTTCCTCCAAAGCCACACTTAAAGAGGGGTATTTCATCTAGCCAAGGTATCAGAAGTGACTCCAGTTCTGTAGTCAGCCCTGCCTAGGAGTCCATCCTTGTTCAGTCCACTTTGCTTTTCCCAGCCTTAGACCTTTGCATTTTCTTTTAATGCACAGTTAAGTTGGGTGACACCCCTTCCTTTCTTAAAAATAATCTGCAGAGTGCTGGTCAGATAGAGACTTAGATTTGGCTTTAAAACAGCAGCATGTGCACCAAAGTCATTCAAACTCAGAACAGACATTTGAATAAAAATACTTCCAAAATATTGTTAAAAAAACAGGCAAACCAAATTAATAAATGTTCAAAATATATACAGGCCAGATCCTCAATTGGTGTAGCTCCATTGAAATCAACAGATCTACGCTTATTCAGAACAATTGACGGTTGGGCCCATACAGAGAGAACTCTGAGTTCATGCATTTTATCTTTACATAGAGGCAGGCCTGAAGGTATTTTTCAGGGTTTTTGTTTGTTTGTTTTGTTTTGTTTTTGTTTGCATCAGACTGGGAAAGTTTCTCATCTTTATAACAAACAGTGGCTGTTTAAAAAAACAGAGTGACCAAAAGCCACCTTTCCCCTAATTAGAAACAAGTGACCATAACATTCTGATTCTCATAATAATAAAAAAAATTACCTTGGATTAATATAACACAAAATTATATAATAGCAGGATAATGATACGTATTGAGAGAAGGGGAAAAACACTCAGGTGCGTACACACAAACTTACCATTAAAACACACACACGGCTTTCTGTGTTTTGTTAATGTGATGACCCTTAATCCAGATCTGGAGAGAGTTGTTGGATCTTCAGATCTCCATGTTTCTGCCTCAGAACATAGGGATGGAACAGACCAGCTCTTGAGGCCCCTGCCAACCCTAAGTTTCTATGATGTTATGTTCATTCAGTCGTTAACCTTTCTGGAGGAAAGTCAGGAAGGGTAGCAACTGGAATAATGGATTTAGTGATGTTGACACTTGACCGCTAGTCAATAGCTGGAGACCACCGTGGAACTTCACATTGTCCACTCAACCCTCTTCGGATTGGAAGCCACTGGGATGGGTTTGAAATAAATACCTAGAAGATGGAGGTGAGGGGTTAATGGAATGGTAAAATTCTTCCAGTGTAAGACTCCATAAGCCGTATTTCAATGCCTATAATATTTTATCCCAAAATCATGAACTCTTAAGAGGACAAACCCATATAGTTACATCTGTCATTATTGATCCATTATTGATAATGTGCCATTATTAAACTTTATTTTCAGAGGAATCACAATATAAAAATGCAGCAGAAATTCAAGGTTGAAGCATGGTGTCAAAGTAGAGTTGGGCGGAGAGGGTTTATTTTAAAAATATTCCCTCTCTCCTCAAAAACACAAACAAAAATCTTCAGGAGACTTGACATTTCAGATGATGGGATACAAAATCTTTTGCCTCTAGACTGCTGGTTCAAATCCAATCTAAGGTTGATAAACGACCAAACATTGCTACAATAGACTGCATGAAATGGTCCCTCCTCAAGTTTCCAGTGTTCAGGTGTCCACATCACAAAATCCATTTCCACCATCACACAATTTCCTTATTCACCTGAAAGGCCAAGCGGTGAATGGCTGTGTTTGCCAAGAAGAGTGAACTACTCCACCCTTTTCAAATAAAGGTCTGAGGGAGGTTGGCAAGAAGATGTGAGAAAGTCTACATGGCATCTGCCTGTTTTTTACCTTTTATGTTAAGAAACAGAAGACTTCAGTTTCCAGAGATGTCAATCCAAGCACTTTCCTCCAGCAGTAAATGTACTTATTCAAAAAATAATAATTAGAGCTGCTAGAGCTGTTTACCAAAAAGGAAAGCAGCATAGCATTCAAAGCAGAGAAAATTTCCTATTTACCTGCATATTTTTAACTGCTGCTTTTTGAATGAGGGGGTTTAGTCTGCGAAAGATAGGACCCAACCCATCCTACAAAGTCTTCATTGCACAGAACTCTCATATACATGTAGCAAAAGTAGAGTTTTAATAATAAAAGCTTAGATTTAAAAGAAAAAGAATGATATGCAACTCATAATATGACCTTAATGCTGTTAGTGTTTTCAGAAGTAAAATGCAAATTCTTAATTTCTATGAAAACAAAATTCCACCAAACCATGAATATTCAATAGATTGATTACTGATATAAGTTGTCTAGGTAAAAATTGTGCTGCTTGAATACAAGGAACACCGGCTTCTATTTACAAGGTGGGTTTTTTTGCAAAGTAACTTGCTTTTCTAAGATTATTATGCTCAGTTTCTTAATTTCTATTACTAGATTGCTTCCTCTCACAGAAAAATCTACAGGCAGGAGGTCAAAGGGGAGGCCTGAATTCAGTCCACTGTGTGGAGAGGGGAATAGGGTTTGCCCTCTCTCCCTGCGCAATGAGTCACAAAACTAGCAGGTCCCTGCGGTGGATCTACAGAAAGCCATGGCCCACCTTGTGGAGACCCTGCGCCTCCAGGACAATTCCAGCACTCCCTGCTGCAGGAACTGTTTGTCTAGCATACATGAGTAGTGCACGGTAATATAAGAAGCTACACATGTAGGAAAAGGTGCAGAAAACAAATCGTGTATCATGTAATGTATTATTATTAAATAGCATGTGCTCTTTGAAGAATTTAAGAATGAACATGCTGTAGGAGCAGAACTAACTCTACATCCTTAATATTCTCCCAATACTTTATTTTTTAAAGAAATTTCCTTTTTAAAAACAAACAAACAAAAAAAGAATAAAAGTAAAGAAAAAAAATTTCCTCACTCTCCAGGACTTCAAACTCTGCTGATGCACAACAAATTGCCATAATCGTGCTCTCTAAAAGGCCTGCAGGAAAAAACCTCTCTCGAGCTACCTAAATGCTGTGCAGCCAGCTAGGGAAAGTGGTGTGTGTCTAACCCAGCTGCAAAGCTGCTACAGTGAATGAGAGCGAGACTCCTTGGGCCCCTTACGAAGTACCCAAGAGACACCCTTCAATTCTTTTGCACACTGCACATTCCACAGGACCGGTGACCTTACCGATCATCATCAATATGTATTTTTTGTTTTCCTCAGACTCAAAAGTGGCTGAACCAATTTTGCTCAGTCTTTCCAGAACCACTCACTTTGGGGCAGATGCTAAGCTTGGGAAATTTCAGTCTGAAAAGTTTCAGAAATAGAAAGTGACTGAAAAGTCGGGAATTAGAATGGAAACCATTATGCAGCTTTAAGTATATCTGGTCCAAAATACTGAGCAGCAATATGGCAGCCTCCTTCAATATGAATTACACAGGAGGACCTGATTGATTTTGTTATACAGAGCGGGACAACTGCTTCCCAATAGCCTGCTGCGAACTGTGTGATCTTAAGAGCTGCTGCATTAGCATACCTTTCTGTTAATGCCATTGTATTCCTTCCTAGGTGAGGTGGAGGCAAGGAACATACCTGGATCACATACAATGATAACGAGAAAATTCCACTGAAGCATACAGAAGGTGCCATATAGCATTGAAGGAGACCAAAAAGAGATTATGCTCTGTGGCATGGGAATCTAGAAGAAAAACACCATGTGCACTCACACACAGGCTACCTAAGTGTGGGTAACAAACGAGTGCTCGATTAATACCAAACAATGCTATAAAAACTGTGGGAATTCAAATCCAAATACAAAGTGGGAATTTTTTACATATGGGGAAAATGTCTTCAACACTCTACAGACTTAGGATGTTGGTTCACAGGGGCACAAGATTGAGACCAATCATAGCTTTGTTTTTCTCTCTCTGCCTATTTCCATTTTTTTCCCCTAGAAATTGCTGCATAAAAATGTTAGAAAGCAAAGAAGAAGTGGAACAAAGGGACATTTACCATTAATAGGGACAGAAGGCGAATCTGTGTCTCTAATGCTCTGGAAAAATTCTATTTCTGCCTAACACACTAGAGTATCAAAAGCCAATAGCAGCAGTGTATAACCTCTATATATGCTGGCCAAAATTATTATTTCCCTGAATCTGAGGGAAAAAATTCCAATAAATCATGAGTCGATGTTCAATTACTGATATTACAAACTTCTAGCTAAACGTTCTGCTCCTTGAATGCAACGAACACTGCTACAAGAGTTTTGGCCAAGTCACTTGGCTTCCTGAGATTACGCAGTCCTGATTCTCTTCTCATCTGAATGGTTAGCAATGTGGAGGGACTCTATTGAAGTAACTGGGACAGCTGCTCTTCACTGTTCTGCTGCCTCTGCACCATTCAAGGTGCAAAGGTTGGCCTCAAGCCAGCTGCTGGGGAGTCCCTCAATGTTAGGGAGTTCCCAGAAGGGATAGAGCTAGTAGAGCTAGCTCCTTGCACATCCTCCCCACAGCTTCTGCAGGAAGTATCAGAAACTGGGAAGGGGGGTGAGGGAGGCGTGAGGAAGAGGCCAGAGCATTCTCTACTCCAGTAGAGATCCCTTGGGGGCCATTGTCATCTTGCACAGGTTACAGCAGCCTCCAGTCTGCTCTAACCTGGTCTCCGGGTCTAGGAGAGAATAAGGGTATTATAACTGGCTCCCTGGACAGAAACTGGACACAGCAGTGTGCTTTCATTAATGTAAACCTAGTGTAAATGAAAGGATGGTTAGGTCTTTTGTATATCAATCCACTTGACCTGCATTACTTAACTTTGACTTGTGTCACTCTCTAACATTTCCGTTAGACTCTTGAGGATTCCTTATTACTATTTAAATTTAGTTCTATTTCCCTAATGCATGCACCCATTGGTGAGAGGATCTCTCCCCGCATCAGTTCTGGAGAATTCAAATTTCCCCCGCCATCTGTGGATTTATTTATTTTTTTAATTTATTGGACTCAGGATTGAGTCCTAAAAAGTGTGCCACTTCTACAAGATGTCAAGTCTGCTCAACTTCCCTCAAAACCACTGGGATTTGAAGGCACAAAGTAGGGTAAAATGGTTATAATCTGAGAAATTATACCCCTAGCATGACCTACAGAGTTATGCAGCAATGTGGCTTTGTGGGTGTCAAGCTTTTCTTGTTGTCCCATTTAAAAACTTGTTTAAAAAAAAATGAAATTGGGAGATTCATCAGAACTCACCCTTTCCCGTGAACAGTTTCATCTTATCAGCATTTTCCTATGAAAAAATGTTAAATTCTTGACCAGCTCTAATTATACACTGATAATATAACATCTGCTGCTTATTCTAGTTGGAACACTGACACGGAGAGAAGCAAAAGAAAAGAAAAAAAAATAAATTTTGGGCCAATGTTCAGCAAAGTTCTCACTGTTTCTAAATGGGTTCTTCCATCCCTTATCTGAGTGAAGACTGAAGTCTCTTCAGATCTTTCAAAGAAACCTCAGAAGTGCTGATCCCTATAGATATTGGTAGAAATAGGTGAAACTTCTGTTTTAGTTTCTAGAAAAGCCTGTGGCCCAACTCTCAACCTAAAAGCAGAATGCAAAACATTGTCCCTTTTCCAGTCCATTTCACTAATGTGTCATAATTTGATGAGCAGCTCACAGTCACATGCTCTGATTAAAATTTCATAAAATGTGAATAGAATGCTTGTAGCATGGAAACAAAATGAATCCCCAAAGCTTTAAAGATTTAGCTGTGAAGAATATTTCTTTCTTGCTGTACCTGCTACTGTGGAGAGAGAAAGATGGAGGGCTGGAACTCAGGGATTTACTCTGGGGTGTTAAAATACCTGCACAAGTTAGTGGCCACAAAAGACTCCAGAAAGGGAAGACTCCTTGGAAATCAACTTCAATATGGCTTTCTTTAAAGTCCAGTCTTGCAAGGTCTTTAGTTCTCACACAGGATTGGGCCTCAACAGGATAAAGGAAATCTAAGTTTCAAATTTGTCGAGAATGTCGTGTTTTGACTTTTTGAAACAAAAAGTTTCATTTGTCTGTTCATAACATTTCATTTTGAAATTTTAGTCCATTTCTACTTAACAAAAAGCATAAAATAGTATGAAAAGGTGACAATCAAAACAAAATGTTTTAAAATGATCTTTAAGGAAATATTTACGGTGGCCCAGTCCAAAAATATTTTTGGTTTACTGGTTCATGAAAATTTTCAAGATTTTGACTTTTCATCATGATCGGGATTTCGGGGTTGGGGCGGGGGAATGTTTGAAGTCTCAAAAATTCTCTCATAACAGGGAAACCATTTCCCATCCAGCTCTATAGATTGTACCATGCCCCCATAGCATAGTATCTAATCACCTCACAGTCCTCAATGTAGTTGTCCTGACAACAACCCTGTGAGGTGGAAGAAGTGCTAGTAGGCCCATTTTACAGATTGGGAATGAGACACAGAAAGAATATGTGACTTGCCCAAGGTCACACAGGAAATGTGTAACAGAGCAGGGAACTGAATCTGGGTCTCCCTAGTTCCAAGCTAGCACCTTAACCACTGGCGCATCCGTCTTCCCTTCACAACGACATCTCCATGCCAACAGAAAACAGGGCAATCCAGAAACCTCTTGAAAACCAATTCTCCTGAGATTTCTGGTCTAAGAATCCAAGCCTGCTCCTTTTGAGGCTAATGGCAAAATTCCCTTTAACTTGACTTTCAGCAGAGTCACAGATATGATAGTGTAGTATATAATCAAACTTGTCACTACGGGCCTAATCTTGCCCTCACTGATGTCACTGGGAGTTCGGTCACTGTTTCAGTGGGACTAGGGTCAGACCTCAATTGAAATGGAATTATAGGACACAGCATTGTCCGCGCATCACTGCAGCAACACGGAATTGTTAATACTTTTGCAGTGCCTATAAAACTACTCCAGGACCTGCAGAATGAAATCCTTCCTGGTAAGAAAAGCTGTTTAAAGCAGGCTTACAGGTGGTTTCTTGATATTGCAGCCAATACTCAAGTTTTACAGTGTTTTCCCACCATTTACCCTCCATTAAGCAGTCGGGCGTGGCGCAGGGGGATTCCACAGGGCCCCAGGAGAGAAATCATCTCCCACAGATGCAGATTAGCAGAGCTACTCCATGATAAGTATTGCAGCCCTGAGTCCCTGCCACTCCTGTGTACCAACTCTGCAGGGGTCAATGACTAATGGGTCCACATAGTCACAGACCCCCTGGCCTAGCCCTCCACCCCTAGCTATTGGGCTGTGCATTGAGCCCTCGGTGACATAGGCTTCTCAGTATGCAGGTGATATACACCCACTATGCAGCGTACTTCAATCCAGGCAGTGGAATTTCTCTGGTTCCACTGCAACGGGGACCATTTGATACTACGCTGTGGGGAGAGGAGTGTGGGGAGGAATTGCAAGCCTTCCGCTTTGAATGGAAGCATTCAATACAATGCAGTGGGAAAGAGACAGAGAGTAGGCATCGTTCTTCCGTGGACGCAGATATGAAAGAAAATAGATACTTAATTCTGCCGTCTTATCTACTAAAGCCCTCCATATGTTATTGCCTAAGATATGAAGGGAATAATTTTCAGACTGGCAGCTGTTAAGTAGGGTTGCTAGGTGTTTTTAAACCACTAATTTTATAGGCAGGGCCGGCTCCAGGGTTTTGGCCGCCCCAAGCAGCCAAAAACAAAACAAAACAAAAAGCCGCGATCGCGATCTGCGGCGGCAATTCAGCGGGAGGTCCTTCACTCCCAGGCAGAGTGAGGGACCGTCCGCCGAATTGCCGCCGAATACCTGGACGTGCCGCCCCTCTCCGTAGCGGCCGCCCCAATCACCTGCTTGAGAAGCTGGTGCCTGGAGCCGGCCCTGTTTATAGGCTGGAGTTGTGAATAACCTGTTTCTATATTTTTTTAATGAGATCCTTTAGAAGATAATTAAAGGATCTCTTGCCCTGCATTTGTGCTTAAGCTGTGCTATAGTAATGCTAGGGCAGTTTTTACCCTACTGTGATGATGAATGTTAGTTGACTATCTGGAAGTAATATATCATTTTAACTTTACAAATTTAAACTCTCCCAATAAAAAGTTACCATAAATTGCAACAACTAATCATTCAATACCAGTCTGTTGGTGTAACTGCGTCATTCTAATTTCATCTCAATGAGAGCTACAAAGAAACTTCCTGTTACAGGATTTAAAGAGGCTTCTTATATAAATTTCAAGGAGCCTGCATCCCAGCAAGAAATACTTTAAAGCAGTTCCTAAGATTTAGAGATGTAAGTAGGTCAAGAAAAAAATATGTTTGTTTACATTCAGTTAAAGAATTGCATTTCCTTCTGTCATGTAGTAGGTATATGTTCATGTTCATACCTACACATGCACAAGCTGTGTGTGTGCACACACATGTAGGAGACAGACAGATACATACATGTGCCTCTGTAATGTTTCTTTCTATGGAGTGACAGTGGCCTAGCGGTTAGCGCATCAAACTGGGTTCTAGTCCTAACTCTGACACAGTTTTGTTGTGTAACCTTGAGCAAGTCACATTTTCAAGAGTCCAGGGTCAGATTATCAAGTATACAGTGCCCACAACCGGGAACAGATTTTCAAAGGAGCTCATGTCCCAAAATGCACCCCCAACATGCTAAACTGTTTTGAAAATCTGGCCACTTATTTTGGTGCCTAGATGGGAGCTGGGCTCTTTTGTAGATCTGGCCCCAGCTGTGAGTGCTGAACTTTTCTTTCTCTATTGCCACTTTCCCATTTTTAAGCAGCCTTGCAAAGCACTAGCTAAAGAAGGTAGTTTGGGCCTGCAAGACCTGGTATGGATGGAGGGACTTTCCTTTGAGTAGTTCCTCAGAGTGGTGATGAATATCTGCTTTTGATCACCAAGTGTTCTCTTGCCTGTGGGATCCTGCAGAGTGAAGTCCTGCCCAACCCTCTTCTGTTTAATGAAATTACTGGGAGAGATTAAAGCTGATACAGGCAACACCATTACCAGTTTGCTGATGTCTCCCAACTCCAAGTCTCCTTTTCATCTGACCCTTACATTGCTGCCAGCAGGTTTATTCAAAACCTAGAAGCAACTCAAACTTGATGAAAGCCAGCTGGCTACAACTCAATCTGGTCAAGACTCTGGTGAACCAGGTCATTGGAGGGTGGGGGGCAGTGCTTTGCAGACCCTGGCAAAATCGGTGACTTACTCCATGAAATGAGGGGTTAAGCCCAATCACCAAAATAATCCTTAATCTCAGGATGTTATGAGATTCACCACTGATACCAGATTGTACTGGTCACCAGACCGACCCCCTTCATCTCAGATGCAGATCTTGCTTCACACATCCACAGACCTTCCGAGCTTTTCATCTGAATTGCTGCAGCAGGTTTGAGCACAGATGAATTGTAAAAGCAACACCCAAGCAGCACACCCGCGCTCCACTAGCCACAGCAACTGCCAATCAGACTGTTAGCTGAAACTCAGTATACACAAAGCTCTAAAGGGACTAGGCCCAAATTGATGAAAGAGTTGTTAGGCCTTTGGCCAGGTAACTGCAAAATGCTGCCTCACTATTTCTGACCTAGTATAAAATATAAGCTTATTTAGAGTGCTGGAGCATGCTGTCCCAACGGTGAAGCTCACAGTCTGTGCAGGCAAAGCATTATGGGTACTAGACCCTGGCCTTCCTCTGGAATTTTTTCCCTTCATAAATATGGGACTTGTATCCTCTTTTGGGACTCCAGCTTCTAGAGATCTAGACAAATATTTGGGCAGGAATAATTCCTTCTAGTTGAGGACAGCCAGCCAGTACCTGACATCAGCCAATGCTGCACATAAAGTCTATCCCCCATTATCACAGCATCTAATTTTTTATTAGACCGCACAATTACCTCACAATTTGGTATTTTTTACAGGGGCTGCCGTAGCAGGAAGGATGTATGTGGATGCTGGAAGGAGAGTCCAGCTCAGGATTCCAGTGAGACGCCAGTCCTGGCTTCCCTTGCTGGATATTTCCAGCTTCCCTTCTTCTTCCTGCAAGTCTTGCCCCACCGTTCTCAGCTGCCGGGGAAGACAGAGTAGGAGACAGCAAGGAGAGGACAGAATACACTGAAGCCTCAGCTTCTGGGCATGAGGAATTCTTGCTATGTACAGAGGCCAGGCAGCTGGGGAGGTAAGACAGGTGTGGAACGTGAGGCTGTTTGACATCTCAGAGGGAAGAGGGCTCTTTGTAATGTTTTCCATGAGGGAAAGGGGGTAGCATGCTCAGCCTTAGGTTTCAAATGATTTTTCCCAAGGCCACAGAGGGAGATAGTGGTACAGTCATGAGCAGAACTCAGGAGAGGTTCCTGGCTCCTAATCCTCTGCTCCGACTGCTTTTCTCTCTCCAGTGATGGTGCCAGAGCTGCAATGAGCTAGGGCTGGTGAAAATCATCAGCAGGCCCAAGTCAGAGCATTGTCAGTGACCGCATTCCTGTGTGGGTTTATTTTTGGCCTGTGCAGCATATTTGCATTCTCAGCCTAAAGTGGATACTGCAGAAGGGATAATATTTGTGGGGAAAAATATTTTTGGAATTTTGCAAGGAGGCAGCCGAGTATGTGCAAAAATATATATATATACACACACACACACACATATACACACTGCAAAAATGAGCTCATCCCTACTGCCTTATGCAGGGGGATGCACAGATAATTAACAGGAGTGATTGCTCATCTTGTGCTGCTGCAC